ACCATATGCCCTCTACCAATCATCTTCCCCAAGTTCAAATCCTTAATTACACAATAAGAAGGGAAAAATGTTACTGAACAGTTTTAAGAAATGGTTATACTACTAACAGAAAACAAATTAATAGGAAATTGAGGAACATGTAAAACATTAGAATGTGTAGGACCAAAGGGAAGAGAAATAGTCCCTTGACCAGCTATGGTAGAGAATGAACTATCAGCCAATCTGATTTTGTCTCTTCCAGAGAGAAGATGATAGGTCTGAAAGTAGGTAGACTTACCAGTCATATGTTTTGATGCTCCAGAATTAATTATCCAAGGATAGGCCTGTAAACGGATCGAATTCGAATCGAATCAGGCTAGATTCGAATTTGAAACCGATTATGAATACTAATATTTGAATTCGATTCGATATCCGACGGATGTCAAATCTTTGAGTTCGAATTCGATTTCGATTATCAAATCGAATATCCGATTTGATTCGAATTCGACCGATTGACTTTTCGAATGTGAATTCGAATCTGATTCTATTCAAATAGACATTGTATACATTTTGCAAAGAAGGTGTGAATCTACATCATAACCAAAAACCAAAAAACCAGTAAATCATTATCTAAATCACTATAAAAAAATTGTGATTTGAAAATTACCTTGGGAAAAGAGGCAGGAGACGGCGGTAGGCGTGGGTTCCCGACGGTAGGTGTGGGTTGCAGCACAAGAAGGTGATGCTGGCGATTCACACTGAGACTGAGAAAAGGTGATGTTGGCGATTCACACTGAGACTGAGAAAAGAAGATGATGGGTTCCCGACGACAATCATGGGTTGCAGCACAAGAAGGTGATCCTAGTGATGATTCACTGTCTCATTGTCACTGAGACTGAAACTGTGAAAAGAGAGATAGAGGTGACGAGATGAGCGACGACGGTGATGAAGGGTGATGACCGGTGACAGACCGACAGTGGTTGCTTGGGCGGCGTTCGGCGACGGCGAAGGGAGTGACGGAGGTCGAAGTGTTAGGGTTTTACACTTTTACTTTAGGGTTTTGAGAAGATAGAGAGGTGGTAAGGAGGTTCAGGTTCATTCGAATGAAAGAGTTCGATTTTGAGATTTTTGAACTCATTATTCATTAAGTCATTAGTTATTTTTTATTTTCTTTTTTTTAATCTTTATATTATATAATAATATAATATATATTATATATAATATATTAATATATGTAATCTTTATATTATATATATATAATCGGTTCGGATATTTATCGGATCGGATCAATGCATATCCGAAATCAATTCGATTATGCTGAATCTCGGATTTGAATTTGGATTTTCGAATACCGCTTACAGGCCTATCCAAGGAGAGTCAGAGGAACGAGACGATACATGGAGAGTTGTGGCAGAATTACCTGATGTAGACGCATATGAAGTTGATGGGGGAGGGGCATCCATCTGGCAAATTGCCCTACCATAAAGTTCTAAATGATCACGGAAGGAATTAATGATATCCTCCCTAGGGTCAGAACCAATGGTGTATGTCTGAACTGCAGTAGTAGGGGATTGGTTCTCTTGAGTAGCCATGTGTGTTGTAGTGAATTTTCTTGAACCTTGTGGACTTAATTTCTTGTTCAGATCTGAACTTTGTTTCTTACTCAATTCCTGAGCCCATTTCGGCTTCCCATGAAGGTTCCAACATGTGTCACGAGTGTGTCGAGGCTTCTGGCAATGGGTGCACCATACTTTTTCTTTGTCATCCACCCTTTTCTGAGAGTCTCCCTTCTTAAAAGGATTTCCCCTACTTGTAACAACACTTCCTTTTGTTGCCAACACAACTACATCTCTCCCGGAATTATTCATCAGATTCCTTCTATTTTCCTCTGACTGTACTAGGGCATATACCTCTTGAACAGAAGGGAGATCCTTGCTTCCAAGGATCTGCACTCTAATGGATTCATATATAGGGTTCAAGCCAAGGAGAAAGGCAAAGACCCTCTGTTGAGAAACAAGAGACTTATATGCTTTCACATCTTCATCACACTTCCAATCTACACTCTGATTGTGATCCAACTCTTTCCAGATGGAAGACAAGTTTGAGTAGTACACAGAGAGACTCCTCTCCCCTTGTTTACAAGTAGAGGATTCTGCTTGTAACTGATAGATCTTTGCATGGTGTCTCAATTCAGAATAGGTTGACTTGGCTTGTTCCCAAATCTCATAAGCTGTTTTAGCCCATATAAAATTTCATCTCACTTGAGGTTGCATAGACACTAAGAGCCATGACATTATCATGCTGTTCTCCTGGTTCCATCTGTCATGCTCAGCACTCCCAGAATTAGGTTCTTTAATTCTCCCATTTATATAGCCTATTTTCCCCTTGCAGTAATGTATAGTTTGATCCCCTTTGACCATTCTAAATAATTCAGACCATCAAGAGGTATGACAGCCACAGGGAGGGATAAATCCATACCCCCCACTCAGTCCATTCTGCATTGATGAAACACTGGAGGTGGCTGTCTTCACTATTCATGATAGCTGGTTTAGATCACACTAGAAGAGGTTGAATCTTCACCAAACAAAAAATAACCGGTCTGTCCAACTTATTTTCCCTTTCGTACAGTGTTATTTAAAAAAAAAAAAATCTGCACCAGGAATAATAAAAAAACACAGGCAGCCACCTTCTAGATCAACTACAGTACTTCAGTCGCCATAATTTTTTTTTCCTGCTGTTGCAGCACCTACAGGTCATCACCGACCTACGAACTACCCCACTGCACTGCTGTTACAGCACACACATGTCATCTCTGACCTACACACACTTCACAAAGCTGCTGTCGCAGCACATACAGGTTACCTCTGACCTACAAACACCACAAGGATCACTCGATCCTACAAAAAGGAAGGTACAGGTGCTGATCACCTCACATCTGAGTGGTTTTTCCCTTTTTTTAGATCTGTCCTGATACATGATCAGGAAAAAAATAAAAGGAGGAGAACGAAGCTTCTGAGATCAGTGCAAAAGAAAATACCTTGGTTCTTCAGAAAAAAAAAAAATTATCAGTAGCACGATGAGGAAGGGAAGAAGATAGAGGACGCGATCTCCTTTCAGATCAGATGAACCCGCTCTGATACCATCTTGTCCAGAACTGAAGAGAAGAGAAGAAGAGAGAGGAGAGGAGAGAGACTTGAGAGCACCTCAAAAGATGCTGGCGGCGCCAGCTTTTTAGTATTTATATTAGGGTGACCAAACATAACATAAAGACAAGGGGAATTACAATAGTACCCCTGCGACACTAATAGAAATAAAAACACAAAGAAAAAACAACTTTAACCAGTCTTTTAACAATATCCATTTGTCAGGTTATACTCCATCTATGTTCTTTCTCAAGATGTGTGATGCTTTGTATCTGTATCAACATAGGTAAGGCAGTTATTGGGTGCTTATGTGTTTTTGCCTCCAGAAATGAGCCATTACCTATATGATGCCCATGCAGTGGAAAACAAGGAGTTCTGATATTTATGGAGAATCCTTTATCAATGCCAAACACACATGTTCATGCATGCATACTGAATTCAAAGATGTTACTTCTGATCATATTTTTTTGAGAGTGGACTTTTTTTGAGGTCCTTTTTTGTACAGTTACTCATTGTACACAGGACCAGTTATTAATATAATCATACTTTACCTTCTTTCAAAAAAAAAAAAAAAAAGAACTAAGGCTAGAACATGAAATGAAGCATATGTCAAGGGATGTGAAGCACACTATTTTATTAGTTGCTAAGCACTAATTCAGCTAAGAAATGAATGGCAAATAATAATTTAGAACTAATTCATGAAGTGTTACATTTTCTATTCAATGCTTCTTGGCAAACATTACCCTCTCTTGAAATCCATTTGACATTTGAAAGAATATAATTTTATGTAGTTTGGATAGTGAAAACAGTTTAAACATTTTTTTCTTGATCATTAATAATGTTGCATAATCATCTGGAATTAGGACATCCTGGTTACAAGTTACAACTCATAATTGGGCTTGATTGTGTACATCTCCAACCAAAAGCCTTGACATTTGAAAGAATATCATTTTATTCAGTTAGGGTAGTGAAAACAATTTTAGCATTTTTTTTTCTTGATCCTTAACAATGTTGCATGGTCATCTGGAATTAGGACATGCTGGTTACAAGTTACAAGTCATAATTGTGCTTGATTGTGTATATCCCCAACCAAAAGCCTTCTGCTTGTTTTATTTGTTATTTCTTTTTTAATTTTTTTGGTACCAGATTAAAACTCTATCGTCAGTTTCAGTTTGTTTTGCTGATAACTTGGTTTTCTGTATTGATGTCATTATGCTGCCAACTGGGTGTGGAGTAGAAACTATTTTGGTTTAACATCACAAGCTTTTGTATCTTAGTACAGGCATGCATGTGCAAACTCACCCCTATACATTAGTGTGTGTGGTTTAAAAGTCTTTTGAATTTTATCTTTTTAGCAGATAGATGCTAAAAAAACCACCTTTACAGTGAAGACTGTTTTGATGGATCACAGTTTAATTTTCTCTCCATTTTTTCTCCTGTGGATAGTTACAAAAAGAAAGTWACCTTCTAGGTATTGACTTGACAATATAGCCATATTACTTTTGGGATTTTTTTTTTCTCCTTAAATTTGCATATGGTTCCCTCTTATGCCAATATGGAGGCTAACAGATATATAAAGGTTACTCCTTACCGCTTCTTGCACCAAATGAAGGATCTCAATGGGGCTAAAAGTTATGGTGTACCCAAGCTTATTTAGAATGAATTGATTCTTGATCCACAATTTTCAAAAGGCCCTCAACGTCCAGTGACCTCAACATAGGAAATTAGGAATAATTGGAGCAATCCAAATTGTGGAGTGTGTGTGCAAGAGGATTGGAGGTTTTGTAGGGGAAGTTGCATTTATGAGAAGATCCAGTTCTTCTTCTGGGGCATTTTAGATGGGATTTTCATTTAGTATCTTTTAAATGGGCATTGCAGGATGACAGAACCACCTTTCGTTCCCAGGGAGAGGCTCCTTAAGAAGCAGCAATACTTTCAAAACATACAAAAATATACTCATTTGAAAGGACCATATGACAGGATCACCTCAGTTGCCATTCCTCTTGCATTGGCAGCTTCATCTTTAGCTCTCATTGTGAGTTTTTCTGTTCTCGTGGCAAAAAATCGAAGTTCCCATTATTTACGTATGAGTTATTTCTTGTGATGCTTACATTAAGTATTGTGCTTTGCCCAGGGACGAGGGATATACAATATGTCTCATGGGATTGGGAAAAAGGAATGATAGTGCTTCTGGGCTTTTGATGATGGCGCAAGTGTGACAGCATTAGACGCGTTTTTGTTCATGAAGTTTTTCTTTTCATTTCTTTCTTGTTTCAGATTATAATAATGGCTTAATTTCAGATTAGACTTGATCCGTCTTCTCAACTTCAAGGTGTTTGGATTTCCCATGATAAAGAATGATCTGATCTCAGGTCATGGCAAGTTCTCATCATCTTCTTGGCTTTTGTTCTAATGGTTTTACACGTTTACTTTTTTACATCTATTAGCATTGGAGCTCCCATACGGGGGATGAGCTCATAACAAAAAGAGTTCTTTTTGGTAGTTATTTCTATGTTGTTTTCGGGGTGTAGTGGCCATAAACCTTAATTAATTCCACAGATGGAATCATGCAATATTTAAAGCGTTTCTAGCAGATAAGGGCAACTTTTTGCCTTTAATATCAATAAAAATAATAATTTTATATATTAATTAAAATAAGATAGCTTTTTTGGAAAAATATCAAGAAAGGTCAATGTGACATTGTTGCTTCTCCTCTTGCCTTTGTATTCATGCGAATGGATCATAAGATTCCAGCCAAATAATAACCGGAAATGCTCTTCACGTCCTAGAAAGAAAACTAGCGGTGGTGTCTCCGTCGTGACGTGGAGTCGAACTCTTTGTCTGCACAGAGCAAGACAATCAAGGGTCTTCCAGGTTCTGTATCGGAAGCAGTTTCAAAAAGATTGAGCCCTCCGCTTGTGAGAACGCCGGTGATACTTGGGCTGTGCACGTGAGAAAAACCCGTCGAGGCTTGGGTGGAATGCCGTGATGGCATCGAGTGGGGATGAACTCGTGTCCCGTTTTCACACCGACATGGGCAAACAAGGGAAGGAAGAGGAATGAAAAGGAACAATGGATTCATAAGGAATGGCCGGAATCTTATGATCCTTCGGCAGGCATTGCAGACTGCAGAGGTTCTGTGAGCCCTTGGAGATGGACACTTGGACACAGCCGCCGGTTTAATTTCAGGGACATAAAGAGCATTTCCGGTTATTACTTGGCCAAAATCTTATGATCCATTAGTATGAATACAGAGGCAGAGGAAGACCACTGCTCTTTTTTGATATTTTTTTTCAAAAAAGCTATCCCACTTTAGTTAATATATAAAAATATTATTTTTTATTGATATTAAAGGCAAAAAGTTGCTTTATCTGCTAGAAATCCCGACCTTGGGAAATTGTGTTCATAGGTAGGTAAACGGTAAACCTTCTACKCTACATTTTTCTTTGGATTACCCAAAAAGGTGTGTTGGTTGTCTACTGCGTAGATCTCTGAGGAACTTTTCCATCGGGAGGTGCATTCGGCCATTAACTGCTTTGATGCCTATATCAAATCTATTTCGTTGTTGTTTCTCAACAATTAGCAAAGCCCCAGAGATGTTTTATTTGTTTCTGGACGATGAAGAAAAGCTCATCAATGTTGCACCAAATAAGATCTTAAAATGAATACTGTCAAGAAAAGCATGAGCCAAAAGAAAATTTATTGCCATGATTTAGGGTTGTGTGTTTCCCTGCTTTGAAAGCATTAAAAAATCACCTAAAAATGTGGTTGCAGTGTTGCACTATATGCACTTGTTAACATAATCCCGTAATTTAACATTATATTTACAATTTTACATAAATTCTGATTCCGATAATACAGATGACTTTATTATTACTATAATAATCAGCATGGCCCATGGCCCAAGCTCATGTGGGCCCGTGCTGTGTCGCGGGTTGGGTTGGCCTATGAGCCAAGCCTTGGGCCAGGCCGGGGCGTAGATCGGGTCAAAGATATTTATTTAAAAATTTTGAAAAAAAAAACTTAAAATTTTAATTTTATATGAATTTTGATGTATACAATTGCTTATATATACAATAATTAAATATAATAAATTAGTATAATAAAATTGAAAACAATTATTTATTTCATTAATATATTATATACTATATTATTATATAGTTATAATTTATATAATAAATATATATTATAAAAATAATATGAGCCATGTCACGGGTTGGGCCGTATCAACATGCGGGCCATGGTCAGCACAGCCTTCTTGATCGTATCATGTTGTATCAGCCCGGCCCACAAACCTAAAACCAGGCCTAACATGGCCTACACGATCATGTCAGGTAGGTCACTGGCGATACGGTTGGATTTACACCTCTAAACATGAGTGTGTATTTAATGGATCTAGCTTATTTAATTGAACTTCTGTTGTACTATTTCTTAGTGGTTTCATATTGTACTAATGTAATAACTGTGATCCAATCATGTTGAATTGAGCCAAACTGTCTTCAGATAAGCCCAATCAATGGTAGGTCTAATAAAGAATTTCTGTAATCTAGTGGAAGGTTAACTAGTAGATAGGAGCTTCACTTCATTATAGGAAAAGTTACTGATGCACTTCTAAACTTTCACTTACAAGTAGGGAGACCAAAATCCTTGCAAATCTTTATTTGTCAATAGGTACATATGGACCTCTTTCTAATCTAACTTCTACATGGTTATTTTTAAAATGTCTTTTTGGCAAAATATTCATTAAAAAAACAAAAGACTACCGCCATTACATTGGGAGATTATGAGTGCTTATGTTAAAAATATGTGTTAAAAATAAGTGTTCATTCGAATACGCACTTATTTGCATTTGGCATCCAATTTTTTCAATTGCTTATTTTAAAAAATAAGACTTATTTCATATTGAGTGTTTGGTAGTATTTTACTCCAATAAGCACTTAAATAAGCATTTGTGACTATTTTGTCCTTCATTTTCTTTCAAATTTTATGAAAAACACTTTTATAAAAAATACTTTTACAAAAGTACTTTTATAAAGTATTTTTACAAAAAACACTATTATAGAAGTACTTTTATAAAAAGCACTTTTACGAAAGCACTTTAATAAAGGCACTTTTATAAAAGTATTTTTATAAAAGTACTTTTATGAAAGCACTTTAATAAAATCACTAGTACTTACAAAAACACTTTTATTAAAGCATTTTAATAAAAACACTTTTATGAATGTACTTTTATAAAATTCAACTATGGATAGTTTTATAAGTGGTATTTAAAATTCAACTAGTGATAATTTTGAAAGAACAAAATTGATAAGTGGTTATTGTATAAGCACTTAAAAAAGTTGGAAATTTAGGCCTAAAAAATAATCTCTTATTTTCAAAATAATCATTTGTTTTGGGCTTATTTCCTAAACACCAATAAGTGCTTAATGGTCTATATCTCATTGAGGATGATAGTTTTTCATAATAAATAAAATGCTTTCTAGATTCAGAGTTATCAACGGTTGGGTCTGGGTAGAACTAGAACCAAATCAACAATAAAGGGTATAAAATTCATTTTATTACAACTTTAATGCTAATTTAATGGCTACTAAAATATCCATATCTACATATTTAGTCCATCTGTAAGGGTTAAAAATGTAACTTACAATTATTACTTTCCTCCTCGTTTAATTCACTTTCATAAAGTCTTATATTTAAGGTATTAACTCCCGATTTTTCTTATTAAATCCTATATTAAGTTATTTTTCACTAATAAATGTTACTAATTAGATCTATGCCAATAATTTTAACAAATATACCCATATATTTAAAAACTGACTAAAAAACAAATACATTCTTTATCCAAGTGGTTGCTAAGTAATTCAACCATCTGAATCAAATTAATCAATAACCTATGAAGACATTGTTAGCTAATAAATTTTCTAAAATAGAAATAAATATAGAAAATTATAAAAACGTAGAAAACATTAGACACATTTATGATATTTTATTAATCAAATTAAAAAAATAAAAGTTTAATAAACAAGAATTAGAACTAACGGAAATGAAATTATTTTACTATTTAGCTAAGATCAATAGTTCAACTTTTAGGTCAAGTGTGTTAACATTTAATGTCATAAATAAATAATAATAAATAATAAATAAAACATACATAAATTTTACAAAAAAAAAACATTTAGGAACATGTATAATATCGTATAATTATCATATTAAACAAAAAGTAAGTGTGGCATATCAGAATTATTTTTACACATAGAAATACAAAATAATTATAGAAAAAAATTGAACACATCTATAATTCTATATTTACACTAATATAAAAAATATGAATAAGATTGTGGAACTTTCTTTTGATTAAAATACTCATTTTTGAATTTAGTTCCTATTTAATTGTGAGGTTTTAATTATAAATTGAACTACCTTTTTTCACCACATTCAATTCTCTCTATTTAAATTTACGTTTTTTTATAAATGAACAAAAAAAGATACACAAAAAAAATAAAACATTACAAAAAGAAGAATCTAGCTAAGCAAGTAGGCCTGTTAATGATAGTTGAAACTTCGCAACTCGATCTAATTATCACATATTTGGATGATGTGTGTATGTAATCAGATATGGACTTTGCAATCTTGATCCGATTAATAATACAAAACAAAAAATTAAAAAATACATATTGGTAGAAATTTTTGAATACATTATTGCTATCATTATCATCATCCAGAATGGCCATGTGCATGCATACTACTCAATCTTCGTATGGAATTGGCCCATGGATATTAGATCTTTGAATGAAAACTGGCTCAAACTGTTTGGGTTTATTGGGTTGGTCCCAACCCATTGGCCCATATAATCACACAACTTTGATAATTTTTCCTTAGACACGGTTTGGAATTGATATGAGATAATAGATATTGTAATCAAAATTGTCTCAAAATGGTTTGGGTCTGTCGGGCGAGTCCCGACCCATTAACACATAGAATCATACAACTTTGATAACTTTTCCTTGGACTCAGTTTGAAGGAGTACAAATACAAATATGTAGAATGCGAAAACTTGTATTTTTAATTATTTTGTGTGTATTTACACTGTACATATTTGTATCTGTACTCATCATTGTTCATAGTTCAATGTTCATCATTTGGCAAAAAAGGGCAAATTTATTAAACTACCCCCACTGTTTAGTTAATTGACAAACTGTACCCTTATTGTTTAACTATTGTCTTGTGCTACCTCTACTGCTTCTAACAATTACCATCGCCGTTATATCACAACGGAACATGTGAAATGTCTAATTTCATACACACACACACATTAAGTTGGAATGTGTACGAAAAAAGGCTTGAGAAGGCAAAAAATGGAATCTAACAGTAAATTTTGCTTATTTTCTTTCAAGTCACAAGAATTCCACTCTCTCTCTTTTGCTTTTTTTTTCTTACAAATTACAAGAATGCCACTCTTTCTTATCAACTCTTTCTTTCTCCCCTTTTAAATTACAAGAATGCCATTCTTTCTCTCTCTCTCTCTCTCCTTATAAATTACATGAATGCCACTCTCTCTCAAATTAAGGGAGACATCAACTTGGCATCTCGGCTGCTAGGGGACCTGCAATCAAAGGTAGTTAAGCTTGAGCTGAGCCGAGCTCGAACTTCTAAGCTCGAGATCAAGTCTCTATTTCGAATCGAGTCTGAGTTGGACGACACCTCGACCACTGAGGGAGACCTCCACTCAGCACCTCAACAACTAAGGGAGACCTCAGTTCAACACCTCGTCAACTAAGGGAGACCTCAACTCGACACCTCGCCTTCTAGGGAAACCTCAACTCGACACTTCAACAATTGAGGGAGATCTTGACTATTGAGGGAGACCTTGGCTCAGCACCTCGGTTGCTAGGGACACCTATAATCAAAGGTCTTACGAGCCTAATCGAGTGTGTACATAGGGTGTTACCTCAGCTCGACACCTTGGTCATTGAGGGATGAGGGAGATCTCTGCTCATCACCTTAACAACTGAGGGAGACCTCAGCTCGACACCTTGTCAACTAAGGGATACCTCATCTCGACACCTCGCCTGCTAGGGAAACCTCATCTTGACACTTCAGCAGTTGAGGGAGTCCTTGGTTTGGCACCTCACCAATTGAGGGAGACCTCAGCTGCTTGAGGGACTCGCAATCAAAAGTAGCCGAGCTTGAACTTCCGAGCTTTTGACTAGAGTCGCCATTGAGCTCAAGCTCAAGTCTCTAATTCGAATCGAGGTCGAGCCTGATAGTTTATGAGCGAGCCCTTGCAACGCAAGGCCCCCTCCGCTAGTGTGTGTATATCTATCTATCTATCTATCATATATATATATATATATATATATCCTTTGTTTCTCTGCTCTTTTTCCATCTCTCCATTGCAATGAACACAGAGGTGAACGAAGGTGACGTTTTCTGGGTGCCAAGGTACTTTCCCTTTTGCGAGAGGAAGAAGGAGAGGAAGGTCCCTGCCTTGCCTGAAGTTGCAGCAGTGGGGCTGGGAACTGGTTCAAGAGCATTGAGAACCCATCATTTGMGGTATGAGTAGTGGCAACAACTATGTGTGGAACCTTGCATTGGGAATATCTCCTTGCAACCTTGCAACGCAAGGCTATAAAGGGTGTTGGAACGGGCTTTGCCCTGATTGAAGTCGGACTCGATTTTGACATGAATATTCTCACTTGCTTCAACGAGCCCTGGTGTTAGGCACTTCAGCTTGAGCTTGCCATATGAGTTGAATGATGAGGTGGAGACCTTGTTTTGAGCAAGATTCGCAGCCCTGTTTAGYGGTACCAGGTAGGTGTTTGACACCAATGCCACCGCTAGCTCAGGAGAGTCGAAACAATAGCCAAAATCCCTTATAGGGGCCTCGAGAGAAAGAGGACGAGGGTAATATTGGATTTTAAAAAAAGATTTTAAATGTCACTGTGTTTGGATTTTTACATAATAATAATGGATTCTAATAAGAAGAGTATAACTATTAAATTTTTAGAAACAGTAAAAATGGTTAAAGAATAAGGATAGTATAAGACAATAGTTAAATAATAAGTGTACAGTTTGTCAATTAGCTAATGTTGGGATAGTTTAAAAAATTTGTCAAAAAAATGTTCAATGTTAGTCATCGAGAATATGGACAATTTCGTAATTCTACACATGTTCTTAATTAGTCGAAACGGGTCTTTAGTTTCGGCCCCCAAATGCCAAAACCCTAGTTCTAGCTCTCCACAGCTCCACTGTCAGCAAGGGCCGCCGCGGATATCTGTGCCTGAGGTAAGCCTCCAAAATGAAGAACAACTACGTTTTCCAATCTCTTCCCTTGTTGTTTGTTCTTTAGATTTGCACTCTGGTGCAGGATAGATATAATGCGTTCGATCTCCTCTCTGTTAGATTGAAAAACCAGGCACCCATGCGTTTATCGCTCTTATCAACCTTTCTTTTATTGTTAATCGAAAAGTTTGTACGTTAGACCATTTTCTTTCGTGGTGAATGCATCGTTTATGTCGTACTTTTAGTTGTTGGTATAAAACTAGATGTACAGTGGCGAATATTTCTGTTGAAACCCAGTTTTCATGTGAAGGATGGTTGGAACCGGAGGTCATAACTATATAACTAGATTCATGGTTAGTTCATTGGATGAAATTGTTACCAAGAAAAAACCTACATGTAAATTTATGGCCTTTGTTACGGATTTGAAAAATTCACCTGAAACTTGACTGATAATAAGTTGACGGAGGCACTAGATGCAACCTTTTCTAAAAAAAAAGAATTAATTGCCTGTTCCAGGCACTTATATTCTGAAAAAAAAGGTGGAAACTGAATTTTGATTTGTAAAGATATTTTTTTTTTGTATTATAGGTTAGGTAAAGTTTTTATAATATTGCTTCATCTGGCTACACTAAATCATTGTGTTTTTTTTTTTTTTGCATTTTACAAACAGTGATGAATTGGAATATATAGCAATACATCACCAGTATATGGAATTAACTTGTGTGATACATCAACAKACCACATTTTAAAAATTCCTGCAACCAAGATGTGTAATGCCCTGCATCTGAGCCCATTTATTCAGTTATACTTAAGTGAGGCTAATGCAATGGAAAAAACTCAAGAATCAAAAAATAGAATAGTAATGAGTTAAGTTGATAAAATAGAATTTTACATAGTCAAAAAGATGCAAAATGCATGTTAAAACATGTAAAGTACTAAGGCTAAAACATGAAATGGAATGGCACAAAGACCAAAATATGGAAAAAGCGTATGGTAAGGGAGATGAAGCACATTTACCAAATAGAAAAAAGGAGAAGAATTCTACTCTATATGGAGCCTATGGGATCCTTTTAGTGTGCGAAGGTTATAAAAGTAAAAGGTTGAAAATTTGAAATGCATATTATCAATATTTCATAATCATCTGTCGCATTTGAACTTTAGAAGTATGACATTCAAGAAGTTAAATATCACATCTATTAAGGGCAAGTGAGCAACTTCACTGAAGCTGTTATATCCCTTTTTCTCAACACACGTGCTTACAGGGAGTGAACTGTAAAATTAAAAGTGCATGCTTATAATACTTGCTCTTTTGTTACAGAGTATGGACAAACAATTCATTCTAAGTTATAATATGATAATTTATGGTGTATTCTTGATTCTTGTATGTGGTGCAATCTACTAGATGGCTTATCCCACTTGTAGGCATTGACAATTTAGTATTGCATGATGATTTGGCTATACTTCTATCTGCCTAGTATACAGTCTATGCAATTAGACCTGTTCATGGGCTGGCCTGGATGGGCTTTGCTTCTTTATTAACAAAAAATGGCCAGGCCTGAGCCTGAGACTAGCTTGACCATTGGGCCTAGATCTTGAGTGTGAGCCCGAAGTCCGGTCTGAATGGGAACAAACAAATTTTATTATAATTTATAAATTACTATTAATAATATATTAGTAAATGCTAATATATATTTATTACATATTACTATTTACTAATATATATTTTTATTATATAGTATTATTGGGCTGGGCTTGGGCTCAGGCTGGTCTTATTTACAAAAGCCCGAGCCCACAGCCAAGCATATTGGGCTACCTGGCCCATTAACAGGTCTATATGCAATGGGTTCTGGAGCTGCCTTGTTGTTGCCTCAACTGCTCTTATCCAACCATAAGCATAGCATTAACAAACTTGCATGTCTATTACTCTATGTTAGTAACATAGCTTCTTATTAGACCTGTTCATGGGCCAGGCTCAGGTTTGGGTTTTGCTAAAATTTGAATGGGCCTGGCCCAACGCCTGAGTCTGAAGCAATGTAAAGTTGAGCCTGATGGGCTGCCCATAAGCAGATGTACTTCCTATGTTAATTATTGTTTCTTCTGGACATGTGAATTTGCAATTGTACTTCATTTATTATTGGATTTATGGCTATTATTATTAAGGGTAAAATACAGAGACCTATCCTGTACTTTGGGGATTGTGACTTTTAGGTCCCTGAACTTCCTTTTGCTACATTGAACTACTCTGTACTTTCAGAGTCCAGCACTCTGCTCCCGCCATGTTGCCTTCTCCTTTTTTGCATCTCCAAGGTCCAAGTTTTGAACTTTTCCCATCTTACTTCTTATTTTGTTTTTATTTGTTTAAGAGAGAGATGGAGTGTTGAAAGAGATAGAGCATCCACCATAAAGTTAAAAACTTGGCTTTTGAAGATGCAAAAAGGAGACAGAAAAATGGTCTCATAAAAGTTCAAAACTGACGGAAACCTAATGGTGAGAGCTGAGTGTTGGAATCTGGAAGTACAGGGTAGCTCTCTGTCACAAATGAAAGTTCAGGGACCAGTGTCAATACCCCAAAGTATAGGATAGTTCTCTGTATTTTACCCTATTATTAATTTAATGAGGCCTCAGATCTTTATATCAGAATTCACTTTCATCATCATCATCTAAGCCTTATCCCAACTATATGGGGTCGGCTCCATGAATCCAGTTTCTTCATTCCATTCTGTTTAGTGCCATATCCATTATTAAATTACAGAACTCCCTTTATAGGAAAGAAATCAAAATGTTTACAGCCAGGAGGAAAATCCAAAAGGACAAAGATGCAGAGCCTACAGAGTTTGAGGACTCTGTTGCTCAGGTTAGATACTGAAATTAAATCGTTATCTGCTACTAAATTAAACTTACTGGTGTTAACATCTGTCTCTCATTTGATATTTCTATTGCTTATGCAGTCATTTTTTGACTTGGAGAATACCAACCAAGAACTCAAAAGTGACTTGAAAGATCTTTTCATAAACTCAGCAGTGTAAGAGCTTGCTGTTACCTCAGCTGACATAATTCAACTTAGCTTTCTTGTGTAAACGTTTTATCCTCTGCCCCCTTTAACCAATGGAAGTTTTCTTTCTTTGTGACTTTGCAGTCAAATTGATGTTTCTGGAAACAGGAAGGCTGTTGTCATTCATGTTCCTTACAGACTAAGGAAAGCTTTCAGAAAAGTTCATGTCAGGCTAGTTAGGGAGTTGGAGAAGAAATTTAGTGGGAAGGTAAGGTTTTCTTTTATTGATGGCTCATTTGGTTGATCTAGCAGAAGTCAAATGCTTGAAGGGAGTAATACGTAGTTTGCTTAACCAAACCATAGATTGAATTGCCTAGTTGAGATGAACAGATAATGTTTTTACCAATTTTTTCCTCCCTACTTTGAGTTTCTCTTTACTAGGTTCTGATCCCTGTTCCTGCCAACCTTTATAAGTAGGATGTGATATTGATTTCTACTAGAAGGATACTTAGACCCCCAAAGAAAGGCTCTGCCATTGTCCGCCCACGGAGCCGTACACTCACTTCTGTTCATGATGCAATGTTGGAGGATGTTGTGTACCCTGCAGAAATAGTTGGGAAGCGTATTAGGTACCGGCTTGATGGATCCAAAATTATGAAGGTGAGGATATGATTCCACTTACAAAGAAATGTTAATCCAAACGTTTTTGCTTCAGATCTTTCTTGGCCTTAATTCTACTAAGCATTGGCCTCATCATCATAATGTCCAAATTAGTAGATTCATTTTTTGAATTCTTAAAATACTATTTTATTTTATCAGCATTCCTGTAATGAATGCTTCAAATCAACTTGTATGTTCAAATGTTATGAAAGATCTCTTCTGTACTGTTTTCGAAGGCCCATTATTGTTTCCATCAGGACTGAAGAATAGCCCAAAATAGTTTTCTTCCCATCGAATATGTGTATGGAAGATGGAATTCTCAGTCTACTTTCATATGCAGGTTTATCTTGATCCTAAAGAAAGGAACAACACGGAGTACAAGTTGGAGACCTTTGCTGGAGTTTATAGGAAGCTATCTGGCAAAGATGTGGTGTTTGAATACCCAATAACTGAATCAGCATAAGGAAATCTGGAGAGAGATTTTAGTTAGTTTCCCTTCTTGATTTCACATCCATGTTTGCAATTTCTCTTTTTAAGTTTTGTCATTAGTTTTTGAGAAGTTTTTCTGCTCAAGGAAATTCAAGAAGTTTTCTATTGTTTATCCTTAGACGTGTAATTCTTTTTTCCAAGTAGAATATCATTTGAATCTGAAAATATGCCTATTAGAACTTGGTATTGATTGTTATATTTGTCCAGTTAAGTTTCTGAGTTTGGGACAAGGAATATTTAATCACCAACCAGAGTTTTAGTATACGGTTAGATGGAGGCTAGCGTATTTGCTGACTGTTGAATTTTCCTCATCAATGTTGTCACTTCGTCTGAGTGTGCAAGTAGGGGGGGGGGGTCATTATCTGGTCTAAACTGCCAACCGAACTGAACCAAATTGGTTTGGTTTCTACAGTAAAATGGTTTGGTTTGGTTTGAGAATTTTTCAAACTGTAATTTACTGGTTTGGTYTGAGATCTTTTCCAAATTGGACCTGAACACCCCTATGTGTAAGTGGATGGAGAATTAGATATGGGGCCATACACCCTTGGAATTCAAATATGCTAAAATTTGCAGAGGTGATGTTCTGGTGTTCTAGACTATCATACAAATGTTGTTCATTTCATTCATCATTTACCCTACTTTGGTCTCATCTCGCATGGAGTGATTTGTGTTCATGGCCACGTAGGGCTAAGTTCCTATGCCAACCTGGTACTGGGTCCTAGATCAATCGGTATTATGATCAAAGTTAATTTCTTATCCTAATAAGCAGATTATTAAAACAGAGTTTTAATGAAGAGAAAAAAAAAGGAGAAAAACGTAGGAGGGGATTGCAGCTTACAGCATGTCTTGTAGAGACTGGGTCTGGAATTTTATTTTTTGGGCCCAAGATAGCCCGAGATGGACAAGTAAGGTCAGTTCAGATTAGGTCCATTCAAACTTTAAGTCGGTCCCGAAAATTGGTACTCAACAAATAAACCCAAACTGAGCCCAAAACGACAATGGTGGATTAATGGGTTGAATTGATGCAATGCAACCATTCATGAAATGGAAAGAGAGTTTTTATTAACCTACTTCAACCAACCTCTCTTGGACCACAGCCAATGGGCAATGTCCATGTTTACCAACTCTCAAGTGAAAGGTCGTGGAGTGGTCATCAAAAAATAAAAAAAGACTGAAAGGTCCCAGACTCAAATACATACGCAAGATGTCTCCATTTAATTGCCGTGGGGGAAAGGTCCCAGACTCAAAACACCTGCAATTTCTTAGCGCAGGTATTCTGTGAAAGTAGGAGAACAGCCCCGCTTAGCGCTTAGCTTTCTTCGATATAACCACCACGCTATTTGGTTAGAAATGCAGCAAGTGTGGGCATCTAATGCTAATAAATGTGATTTCTAACTTAACTAAGCCCAAGTTGTGGTGTGACTGTGACATTTACCTAACCTAAAAAACTTGTTTAACGGGGTTAGGACTTAGGACACCTGAGCTTGTAAAAGTATTAGAATATGAAGTCCAGACGCTTTAAACTTTGAAGCCCTAAAACATGAATCCTAGAATTGGGGCCTTGTTCTCTTTGGCTTTGAGATCACAAATCCTGAACCTGTCTTACCAAATACAGCCAATGTATAAGAGAAGAGAAGGATACTCTACTTTTCCATCTCTGTGGTCTCATCCTCCGGATTTTATTGTTCTGTTCGGATGCAGGATTTGTATGACAATTGATAATAGATATATAAATAACCAACAAAAGAAAGAAAAAGGTCCAAAGTCCAGGCACACTAACTAGCACATGTGAGGAGGAGATATGTATGTATATACAATCCAATAAACTGAAGTCCAGTCCAGTCCTCTACTCCTGGTGTTGGTGTTGGACGGTTGGACCACCATTTAAGCTGCCATGTGAAAGATTCCTGCACGCTGCTGCATCAATTAAAATGCTGTCTTTGCTAAATGATTCCCATTTACCACTTATCTGCTCCTTTAATTAAAAAAAAAAAAAAATTCAGGACAAAAATGATCTACGAGTCAATCTGTACACGAACACGTGTGAGTTCTTTCACCCTTTCCGAGAAATCCAGGACGGAGACATCGTTTTCTTGGATTTTAGCCGCAGGTTACGACTTTGGAAGTATTAGTCACGGAGGAAGCAGGGAAAGCTTTAAAAAAAAAGGAATAACTTTCACAGACAAGTGACGTGCTAGTGTTACTATGAATTATGATCCCAGTTACTACTGTTATACACCTTTTATACTGTAAATGTTTGTACCATTCAATTCCAAATCCTGTTCATACCATCCCCATTCCCTATGCCACAGTTTGGAACCGATGATGTTTTCTAGAAAAATAGTGCTACATCACTGCCAGGTTGAAATTCTTTTTTTGTCACTACATTAGCGCCATTTCTGAAATATATATTTTTTCTAAAAAGATATTTTCTCACGCCATACTTTAGAAATCGAAAAAAGTGTGATATGAGAAAATGTTGTTTCTGCCTTTCTTTATTTCTACTGTAGTTAGCAACAATAGTCTGATGTGGCATTGAAAAATTCCTAACTAACAGCAATTAGCAATGCTCTCAAACAAAAAATGAAAAGAAAAAAACGTTTTCTAAGAAAACATTATACTAATCCAAAACTGTTTTCTCAAAAAATACTTCTCAAAAAACTGGCATTGATTTCAAACATGGCATGCATGTTCAAACTAATATTTATTTGGAGCAAATAAACTCATTGCTTTTACATGAGAGAGTGAGCGCTACAACCATCTGCCTAAAGATGAATTCCTGAATAAGCCACTTTGCCATATTTGGTTGTTTACCTTTTTTTTTCCTGGTTCTGGCCCTGTTAGGGTGAGATTTTTTTTTTTTTGAGGGGAGAGTGGATATTTTGTGATATATACCACTAATATCGTCTTTCTCAAAGTCAATGGTTGCGAGAATCAAATCTGCACTTATATTGGAGTGAAGTCTGGATCTCCTGTCTACAAGAACTTTGCCCATATTTATCRTAACCACACATGAAAAACATTTCATCCTCTGCATAGTATTATATAAGGGGGATACTCATAACTCATAGAGAGTAATGTATTGTAAATAGGCATGAACAAAATTCTCATGAACAGGAAATCCGGAATCTATAAACTAAGTCATCCCTCAAATACCAAACATTGCATGGCTTCATTGGCTTGTCTATGCCTTTTATTTGTTTATTTATTTATTTCTTTTTTGTTATACAATTGTCCCCTCTATTTTTAGCCACATGGAGAGACAAGATGATTTTGGTGCCCTTCGATGTCAGCCATTACCCCAGCCATTGAAATTTAAAAAGAGGAAGGTAGAAAGATATACTTGATGCGTTGATCGTAAAGTTACGGATGCTTCTGGCCCACCTAAGATGCCAACTTCTGACCACATTCTTCACTTATAACCATCAGTCACAAACACCAATTGATCCACTTGACTGAAGGGTTAGCGTTAAGTGGGTCCGAATAACAATAACTATACAAGTTAGGTATAGCCGAGTAGGTGTTATCAAGGCTGATAATCATTGGTCTGATGTAAATAATTATTAGTTTTAGGTATCTTATCCCGATGGTGTCACACATCAAATCCTTTTATCTATCCCTGCAGTGACAGTCAGGTAGTGTGGTATCTCAGAGCGGTGTTTGACATCGATGCTCTCTAKAAAATGGTGATACATCAGCGGTACTGTTGAAAAAATCTTAGAAAATGGAATTGTTTTTTCGTAAAAAACATCTTAGAAATCAAAGAGGGGTAGCATGGAGAAATGACAAATTGAAGTATTTTCAATTTAGAGCTTGTTATTGGTAGTGAGGACATGATGTGGATTTTCTATAATGATTACCGGTGCTGAAAATAAATTATGGAGCATTAGTATCAAACAGAAGGTATTGTTATTGCCCTAGTAAATGTTTTATCTAGCAGTAATATTTTCAAAAAAATAAATAAAGATAAGTGCTTCAAATCCATAGAAAAGGGTGTTATATATGCAACATTGATGTTAAACATATGCAAAGTGAATTGTTGATTTGTGATTGTAGATCAAAGGTGCTGGTTGTTGGAGATTTGAACTCCCAATACCCTCCCTCTTGGGAGTCCGAATCTGCTCTCACACCAACCTCACAACATCTTTTAGCTGCACATCGGGATTTCGGGAACATCTCTCATGCCTATAATTATTATTCATGGGAGATGTTCCCAATACAAGGTAGGATGTGGTTGTGAGGTCGATCTCTCTTGAGAAGCATATCCCAATTCTCTCTTGGAAGGGAAATTAAAAAAGTGTAAATTACAAAGAACCCCCATACTATGGAGTCAATGACAAAGACCCCCCTATACTTTCTTTTGCAACAAAAATTCTCTTGAACTTTACTCATGAGATAAARACCCCCAGGTGACAGAATATGTTAAATTACAAAAATACCCATATAAACTTTCTTTATTTTCTTTTTATAGCCCTTTTCTCTTGAACCCTAATCTAACTTAACTTCATGCGTTAAATTACCAAAATTGGCTACAAGGACTTGATTTCTTTGTATCCTATTGTCGATCCGTGGGAGTTGAAGATTTCATCATCTTCTTCCCTTTGTCCCTCCCTTGACTAGGGTGAGCATTATTCGGTTAAAACCGAATAACTGAACCAAAAATTTTAGTTTCGGCTTTTTCAGTTTTTGGTTAAATCGATTCGGTTTTTCGGTTTTTGGCTATTTCGATTTTTTATTTCGGTTTTTGGAATTAGAATTTCTACTAATCAAATTAATCAAACTTTTTATTATTATATGTTATATATAATATAATATGTAACATATAATATATAATATATTATATATTTATATATTAATATATAATATACTAAAATTTGATTTCATAATATATAATATATATAATAGAGTATATATTATTAAAATTCGGTTTTAACTGAAATAACTGAAAACCAAATAAAAAATTTTGATTTCGGTTATTTCAGTTTTTCTAAATTTCGAATTCAATTTCGGTTTTTATTTTTAATTCGGTTTTTCAGTTTGTTCAGTTAAATTTTTAACCGAATAAACCGAATGCTCACCCATTGTTCCCACTCGTTCTTCAGCTCACAACCTCTGCATTCATGATGTAAAAAAAAAAAAAAAAGAAACTAAAGTACTTAAAAATCCCGCTCTCAAATTTCTCTCTCCTATTTCGTCCTCCCTCCCCCCCTCCCCCTCCCCGTCAAGTTCCTCTCTTTTCAACCA